ACACACACTTTTATTTTATACTGGTTTACTTACAAAGTTCATATACATTGTTTTTCACACTGGATCTTTCTGATTTCTTTAACCCACCCCTCCCTCTACCCATCAAGTGTGCAACCTTATAATTACCACCTCCCCAACCCCTCCCATTTTCACCCCTCGGCTCCCACCCTCCCTCACTTAAATCCTCATACCAGTTTTACTAGTTATCTATTCCTACAATAGTGGTCTTATTTGTCCATGTGGAACTGAGTTTGTTCAGTTAGCATAATGTTCTCCAGTCCCTCCCAAGTTAGGAAGTGATTTACAAAGTCATCGCTTCTGGATGCTGCGTGGTATTCCATTGTGTGAATATACTATAATTTCTCAATCCTTTCGATTGTGGTTGGACATCTGGGCTGTTTCATTTTCTTGTGATGGTGAGTAACGCTGCTATGAACATTGGTGTACAAGTCTCTGTTTGTGCCTCGGTTCTCTTTCTCTCAGGGGATTGTGTCAATCCATCTTGTTAAGGAGCTTCGTCTTTGTCACTGAGCCTCTACTTTACCGCGCATGATGTTCTTCTCCAGAGACATGTTGCTTCTGGGTGCCTTCAAGTCAGAACCAACCCCTAGCTGGTCTTGCAGTAGGTTTTCTGAGGCAGTTAATCACATAGGAGTAGACTGCCCATGTGTCTCCCATGGAGCAACTGGTGGATTTAAATCACATGCCAGCACAACTTTTTACCACTAAGCCACCAGAGACAACAGGGTAGGCACTATATTGTAGTAGAGTAATAGTAATACCCAATGTGCACCTACATATGGACAGAAGTTGACATGGAGAAGTTAAGTAACCTTTAGATAATTGCATGTTTTATAAGTTTTCATTTGCCTCTTTTGGACTGCTTGCTTCTTGAGGCAGGACCCAGGCTTTACTGGATTCTCCCTGCCTTTCTTATTCTGAAGGACTTTGACTTGCATGCTGGGAGTCCCCAGCTAGTCAATTTGAGGCCAACTGAGTGAGTGAATAGGTGCTCCTGAGCACTCTGCCCTGTCCCAAAAGCCCATGGTGCAAGCCAGGAGGCCAGGAGCCAACTGACCAAGTATTCTTTCATCCACAGGAGCAGCCAGTGTCATCATCGGCCACCCTCTGGACACAGTCAAGGTACAGTAGCATATTTACCATTACTTGTCAGAAGGTGCTTGAAGTGGAATAATGTCCAAAAAATATCAACTGTTTCTGGTTTCTCAGAGAGTCTCTAGGCCAGACAGTTCTCTGCAGCCAATCTGTGGAGACCAGGTACCCGGGAGCCTGACTTGAAGAGGGCCTGCCTTCAGTAGCTTGGTTTTTGTAAATGTTCAGGTTCTCATGAACTGGCAGAGAGAGACCAAAAGGGACTCTTCTTCCGAGTTCCTACTGTAGCTGAGGGATCAAAAAAGGCTTCAAGTGGGAAGTGGCATTGTTTGTTTATGTTGTTATGTGCCGTCGAGTCGCTTGCGACTCATAGCAACCCTATGTACAACAGCCCTAAACTCCACTCTGTCCTGTGCCAATCCCACTGTCTCTGACACTCCCATTCCCTTTATCCCTGTCTCGGAATCGATCCACCTCATAGAGGGCCTTCCTCTCCTGCGCTGTCCCTCCACCCTCCCAAGCATGATGTCCTTCTCCAAGGACCGGTTTCTCCTCACAACATGTCTAAAGTATGCTAGACGGAGCCTCAGAATCCTTGCCTCCAAGGAGCCACCCGGTTTAACCCTTTCCAGGACAAATCTGTTTGTTTTCCTAGCAGTCCATGGTATTCTCAATGCTCTTCTCCAGTACCACAGCTCAAAGGCATCAATTCTCCTTCTGTCCTTCTTGGTCATTGTCCAACTCTCTGCATAACAAGTGATTGGGAAGACCATGGCCTGTATCAGACGCACCTTAGTCTCCAGAGAGACACCATTGCTCTTCAGTACTTTGGAGAGGTCCCTAACAGCAGACTTTCCCATGGCAATGCGCCTTTTAATTTCCTGGCTGCTGGTGCCAAAACTGTTGACTATGGAGCCAAGCAAACTAAAGCTGTGTACAATCTCAATCTCTTCACCATCCATTCTGATGCTGCCAATTGGTCCAGTGGTGAGAATCTTTGTCTTCTTGACATTGAGCCTCAATCCATATTGTAGGCTGCAGTCCTTGACCCTCTGCAGCAGGCGCTTCAGGTCCTCTTCAGTTTCAGCAAGCAGGGTTGTGTCATCCGCATAACGCAGGTTGTTGATAAATCGTCCACCAATCTTGACCCCACATTTCTCCTCACAGAGCTCAGCCTCCCGGATAATCTGTTCTGCATGTAGGTTGAAAAGGTATGGAGATAGCATTAGAGACACAAATTTAAGGTAGAGTTTCAGGAGACAGGAAAGATATACAGGCACAAGGAACAGTGTGGGGAAGTCACTGTGGAGTGAAGCTGTATGGGACCTGGCTAACATTGGATCAGCATGGCCAGCTTTTCTAAGGATCAGGTGTGTGACAGCAGCGGTGGATGAGAATCCAGAAGAGTCAGTCATCACTAAGTACTCAGATGCATTGAGTCAGGTTAGGACTTTGGTCTTGGGCTGAGGATGTGAAAGCTTTTCAACCTGCTGTAGTGCATAGAGTTTGAGGACTCTGGAGCTGGAGGGACATCTTGTGCTTGGATCATCCATTCCCCTTGTTCTTCAGGTGTGGAGAGTGAGACTTAGAAAGAGACTTCTCTTACATTGTATAAGTCAAAAGACCGAGGAGTGGGATACCGCAAAGGGACACTTTCTTTAACCTAGCCCAACACTGTCAACACAAAGACACAAAGTTCAAATCCACCAGCTGATCCCCAGGAGAAAGATAAGCAATTTCCTCTAGTGGGATTTATTGCCTCTGAAGACCCACTGAGGTCCAGCTGTGAGTCGGTTCCAACTCAGCAGTACACAACAACACCGCTACAATACCTTCTAGATCTGTGTCTGAGCTCTGCCTGGATTGTGCCCAGAGAGGAACTGCCCAGGCCCTTCCCAGTGGCTGCTGCAATTCTCTTCTTTCTCCTGTCCCCTTGCACAACTGTGGGCCCTCAAGCCAGAGTCCAGCCCATCATCCTCATAATGGGGAGAGCAGCCTCCTTGTCTCTAGAGAACACCTCTAGGTGGTAAATTTGGTACTTAGGGTCCCCAGGGAAAAAAAAATTTTAGTATATGTGCTGCCGAAGCGAGCACCCCAGGGAAAAAAAATATTAACCCAAGCGGCTGTAAATCACGTGTGAGGAGATTGCTAAGCTTTCTCTCACAGAACAGCTGATGGATTTGAACCAAGTGGATGGTGGGAAAGATACAGAGGTGGGGACATGTAAAGTAAGTGAGAAGGCTTAGTCTCCCCTCCTGCAGCGGGTCTAATCATATAAGAAGACACTGAAGTGTAGAATCAGCGGCTCCAAACCTCAGAGCTGGACTGCGGTAGTGCTGGGGCTCAGTGACCAGGAGTGAAGTTGGATCCCTGCCCCACTGCTCAGTGCTTTCACCACACATGCAGTCTGTCTTTCATTATCTAATGCTGCTATAACAGAGATACTGCTAGAAGGCTTTAGCAAACAGAAATGTATTGCCTTAGAGTTTAGGAGCCAGTAGTGAGGATGCCAGCTCTAGAGGCAGGCCTGCCATAGCTGTCAAGGCCAAGTTTTTGCTTCCTTCAACATTGACTGACCAAGCATTCTCCATGACCCTCATGTCTTGGTCTTCCCAGTGTCAAAGCACTTCTTCATCAAGGGCCCCAGGTTCAAAAAGACACACTCAAAAAAAAAAAAAAAAGACACAGTCTACTATAAATAAATAAATAAGCAAAACAAACACCACTCTCTACTCCTGGCAATTCTTTATTGTTGTTGTTGTTGTTGCTGTTGTTGTGTGCCATCAAGTCTGAGCCAACACATGGCTGACCTCTCAGAGGCTGTAAATCACGTATACAGAGATTTCCCTCTCACAGAACAGCTGATGCATTTGAACCAATGTGCCTTTAGATTTGCCGGGCAATTTCTTATCCCCAGACTTAACTTCAGACCACACCCTTGGCAATGTTGTAGCGCTCAGCCCCTGTTGCCAGAGCCTGTGGACTGAGCATCTGCAGGGTGGCTCGCCGCTGCTCAGAGGGAGGGCTTACATGCAAAATTCCTAGGACTCCAAAGCCAGATAAGGCCATCAGAAGTCGCCTCTACTTTATGGTAACCTCGAGTGTTCACTGTGAAGATCTTTAACAGGAGGGATTGACACAGTGACTGCAGCAGCGGGCTTCATGGTTGGAGGTGAGGACGGCACAGGATAGGATAGGGTTCAGATCTGTTGTCCCTATGAGCTGAACTGGACTTTACTGGATGGCACCTAACAACACCATCCTAGGGAAACCCCTCATACAGCTAGGGGTGTGTTCAGATTAAGGAGTGTTATAGTCCACCCTTTATTTTTCTATACTTATTGTTTTATCAGAATATGGATGATCACTACAAAGCTTCTACATATATGTATTTTGGTGAACACTATTCAATTCATGACAGAGCCCTATAGACGGTTCTCTGCATGGAAGCAGGTAATCACAGTCGCTTTCTTTAAAAAGCACATCCTGATGTTGCTATTGATCTAGGTCTCCTGGGAAGCCTTTCAATAGCCCTAGCCTCTGTGGATGGTGTGGCCTTCACTTTCAGAAATCATTCTAGAGGCCATGCTTTTCCTGGGATCTGTGGCAAGAACAGGCCTCAAGGAAAGCAAAGAAGGCGAGTAAGCCTGTAGTGAGGTGAGCCACTTGTCAGAGAGTAGGTGTTGGAGAAACCAAGGACATGGGATGGCAGGGGAGCTTCCCATCTGTCTTATGCCAGTCTTGTCTACCCAGGCCCTTTCCCCAGAGCCCACTAAGGAGGCCTGGTAGCAGGCTCTGCATGTGTCTTCAATGGGCTGAGCATCATGTCGAGGATGGATTACTGATGCTTGTACCCAGAATTGCTTGGACTCTCCAGAGCTGGATAAGGCTATCAGAAGTTTCCTCAACCTTGTGGAAGCTTCAGGTGCACCTCACTACCTACCGGTTTACTCAATCAAGAGCTTCCTTTTCTACAGCTCAAGGTCTCTGACTCAGCCTCATTCAGAGCTCAGTTAAGATCTGATCCTGGCATGGCAGAGAGATTGGATGAGTGTCTGCTGAGTAAGTAGATTATTACAGGCCTCAGATACAGTGTCTGCTGTGTATCTCTCTAGGGCAGAGCCTTGCAAGAGACTTGGAAGAGATACATTTCTAAATGTCCTATTGAAAATGCAGGTTGCTCCTGGCCACCTCCCAACCTGCACCCATACTCTTAGCCTGCTCAGTCTGACAAAGCAATCCCATCATAGTTTGACTGATGAATTGGGAGGCAGTGTACAGCCCTGATGCTATAGTGGTCAGCTGCTTGGCGGCTAACCAAAAGGCCAGTTGTTCAAACCCACTATTTTCTGTTTAAGAAAAAGATGTCGCAGTTTACTTCTGAAAAGATCACAATCTCAGAAATCCTATGGCACAGTTCTAGCCTGTCTTCTAGGGTTGCTGTGAGCTGGGATGAACTTGAAGGCAACGGTTTTTTGTTTGGTGTTTGGGCCAGAAAGAGCGCAGGCTTTGGAATCGCACAAGCTGGAAGTCAATCTTGCTAATGCCTTTCCTGTTTGTGTAACTCAAAAGATTAATTGCTGTCAGAACCAACTCACAGCTGACCCTCCTCCGCTGGATTCCCAAGGCTGAAAACGGAATAGGAGGAGATTGATGATCTTTCTCCTTTGGAGCCACTGGCCCATTTGAATTTCCTGAGAAATGTGGTCTTTGGATTAGTAGCACAATTCCCTGTGGACTACATCACCAGAGCTCCCTGGTAAACAGAATATCAATCTCTGGCTACAACCCAGATGCCATTCAGTAATGGTCACAGACATTTTCATCTATGTCATGTCATATAATTTATATTTATATTTTGGTTACCATGTCATGAGAAAACATCAAAATGTATTTCAAGCAAATTTGAAGAATGTGTTTAAAACCCGCCTACTTAAATGGTATACCTAAGTACATTACTTCTAAGAAGTGGAAGGACACCTCAGATAGACCAAGGGCCACTACCCAGGGTGACCACACATCCACCTCTGTGTACCACAGTAAATATGAATGCTGGTGTTTTCTAGAACTAAGGTGACTTGATAAAAGTGAGACAGCAAACCATTATTGTGAATTAGGTATGGAAAATGAGAGTTTTCTCTTGATGACCTTTTCATTGATTTAGGGCTCATATTGAATCCAGATGATCTCATCTTTAAATCCTTACTTTAATTGCACCTGCACAGACTTTCTTTCCTAATAAGGCCACATTAACAAGTATAGGGTGGGTGGTCATGATGGGAGAGGATTTCTATTAAGACTTGGATATATCTTATAATCCGATCCATTCAAGTTGATTCCAACTCACAGTGATCCTATAGGGTAAAATCGACCTGTCCACAGGGTCTCCAAAGCTGTAAGCTTTACATAAGCAGACTGCTGGATCCTGCTTCCTCAGAGAGCCTGCTGAGTGAGCCACTGGCCTTTTAGCAGTGAATGCTTTAACCATTATGACATCAGAGATCAAACTATGACTTGACAAACATAGTCTTCCTATTTAAAAAAGAAAAAAGATTCAGACAATAAGATTAGACATCATAGACAATGCTTTGTGAATGTACTTTACCCAGGAAAGTGAAATCTTCCCAGGACAGAAAGATAGCAATATATGTACAGAGCATCACTCCTCCCATTCATTGTGAAGGTTTAAGAGGGTTTTTACTTTTTCCCCATTTCAATTAACCAGCTCATGGAATGAGTCTGTCCTGAATAAGAAATTGATTGCACTAGATAAGAAGTGTTCTACCGTGTTATTTGGGTAATCTCCTCCTATGGTATTATTTACAGTCTTGGAAACCCAATGGAGAGCCAACCAGGAGAGAGAGATTCTATTAATATTAGTGTGTTTTTTATTATCATTAACATAATAATTTTCTAAATGAGGCTCCCCAGTTCCCATGCTACTGAGATCTTTCTAGAAATCGTGTGAACTAGCCGAACGGTTTGATGGTGGGAGTTCTAGCTTTTGACAAGAGTGGAGAGTGGAGGCGGTTCCCCAGCCCCTTTCCATCCTTCAGACCAGGCCAGTTGTTGTCCAGCTGATTCTGTCTCACAGCGACCGCAGGCCTGTCAGGGTAAGAGGACACTCTCAAGGCTGTCAGGGGCTGACTTTTGCAACTTTACTTTCAACTTCTCGATCTTTTTGTTATCAGATGAATGTGCTAACTTAAGCCAGGGTTTTACCACTCATACGGGCCTTGGTATGACACGTACTGGCTGCCTCCTCTGTGTCATTCACGTAAAGCATAGAATGCTAAGGAGCCAGTGGTGACAAAGCAAATGTAGCTTGTGCCCCATGGGCCCTACAGCCGTATTTCTAACAAAGACAGCCTTCCGTTCTCTCTACCCGAGCGTTCATCCTCACACTCAGCCTGGCAGGAGGCTCCCGGTGCTTGTTTCAGGCCACCTCCCTCCTGTGCCTTTAGCAGAGCGGCAGTGCCCCCATGGACAGGAAGTCTGGCCACCTCAGATTTGGCCTTGTGTCCATCTGATAAATGTAGCACTTTCTTGCTTCTCTCACTCTGTCCCCTAAGCTCCTGGTTGGGAACTCCTCTATTCATCCTGAGAGCTTTCCTAATAGGGGCAAGGACCTGGTGATGTCATTTTATAAAACCAATTCTTACAGTTTAACCCAGACCCAGAACTTTTTTTTTTTTTTTTTGCTTCTGGCTAAAATTTTTTTTCTAGAGTTCTTGCTCACTAAGAAAGGTGAGGGTCAGAGATTTTGAAGTCAAAATAATCAGAAGTCCAAGTCTGACCTTTCAGTTTCACCGCCCAGAACAGGGTGAGCCTTATCTCAGATGACCACTCACAAGCATTTAAGATCCCAGTCATTACTCACCAAAACAGGCTGTAGAACATTTTCTTTGTGAACGATGTTGTGCCAAATGACCTTGATATCTCCTGAGACTATAATCCCAAGCCCTTTAGCCCAGCCACAAATTCCCTGGAGATTACGGCTAAAAAATTTTCATAATTTTACCACCTTGCATGCTCTACTATATTTATAACACATATAGATATGTTGGTAGAATTATCTACATTTGTTGCATAACCTCTGTCAAACATTTATCTCTGTATCTAGATCTCTATCTATATCTCCTCAGTCAACTATATATGTATTTGTGGGTGTGGCCCCATTTACCTTCCCACACCTGTTTAGCTTGCGTGTCTGTATGTCCATACATAGATTAATGTTATTACTGTAATTGCAGCATTATCTATGAAACAGCATTTACTTTGGTTGCCTTTGACTCTTGTGCTCCTCCCCGTGGAAGACCATCATTTTTATGATGTGTACTCTCCAGGACCTTCTCCACATGCCTCCAGAGTTGAGCTCAGCCTGCTCTCTGGACCTTACTTAGCACCCCACCAGACGTGGGGTGGTAACAGAGCTCCCTCCTCTCTGACTCTCATGTTCTTTTCTACTTAGGCATTGTCGTGCTGTGTGAAAGTTTTTATTTCATAGAAATTATAAGGAGCATATCCTGTGTATATGAAGTGATATCTCATTGTTGTTTTTGACAAGTGCTTCTTTTTTTGTAATTTTATTTTTTATTATTTTATGTGTGTAATCGGATTTGACTGGTACAGGAGGAGATTGCCCCTGTTTCTGCAGCAGAGCGTCTGGTGGATTCGAACCACGTACCTCTGGGATTGCAGTACAGCTTCTTAAGTGTTTCTATAATGTGTAGTGATGTTGGTGGATTGCTTATCGTAAAAGAAGTGGAAACACTAAAACAAGCCAGTGGCATGTTCTAGGCAGTTCCGTAGACTTTACTCAGAGCCTCTGTGCCTGTTAACTGCCATACCTTTTTACCAAGCTCAGCCTCCATCAGAAGCCTCCACCTCTTTGCCTTCGAGCCCTCATCCAGCCAGTCCACCTGGGTCATATGCCAGGGGCTGAGTGAGGATGAGGGATTAGAGAGAATTAGTATACAGTGGCTCTGCCTGAGAGTGAAGGAGCCTCACAAACACCCTAAGTCAATGGGAAAAACAACCACACAACTGAGGCACTTAAGATCAGAACCAAAGATGAGTAGAAGCTGGAGGAAGTGTCTTCTGGGGAAGGGACAGAAGGTGCACAGATCTGGAGACAGGAAAGAATCGGTGCTTCAGGACTTAAGAATGTATCACATCTGGAAAAGATTGGACTGACTACTATGTAGGTGCAATAAGAATGGAGGGAGAGGACACAGCAATCCCCCAGGTGGCAATGGTATATAGGTGAGAAGAGAGGATGGTCCTGGAAACATTTAGAAGGACAAGGTGATGGGCAAAAGATGGGACAAAGCCATGGCTGTCCTTGTTCAAGACGTAGTTTAGCGCTTTGTTATCCAAAAGATCCCCCTGTTCTCAAACAACCACCATGTTTGCACAACTGACTGGCCTTTGTTCTTCTCAAAGATAAAACTCAGAAGGCAGGAAGGGGTAGGACAGGAGATTTAATGGAAATGAGAATCACAGAGGAAAAGGAGGAAGAGTGTGGCTACATCATGAGAGTGTAATGTCATAAAACAAAATACATATGAATGGTTGAATAAACAATTGGTTTTGAAAACTTTCACTTAAAACACAATAAAAAGAAGAAATCTAGGGGATCTTGTGCCATGTCTAACAGAGTGTGGACAAGTCACTAGAGGGAGACTATGCATGCTGAGGAGGGCATAATACCAAAGTGGCCAGGGTGGAAATTTGCCTCCTTACTGGCTGTGTGACTTTGCAAGGGCTTCCCCATCTTGGGGTCACAATGCCTGAATGACCCTCAGAGTTCAGCAGTGGGATGTGAATGGTCTTGACTTACCCTCACTGTTCTTGTCTTTCTCCACAGACTCGACTGCAGGCCGGCGTGGGCTATGGGAACATGTTTAGCTGCATCCGCTTGCTGTACAGGCGGGAGAGTGTAAGTTCCCTTTGACAGGCATGAGTGACAGTCACCTGGGCCTTCCCTAGACAGCCACATGCAGGCCTGAGCCAGGCGACAAGGCCTCACACCTCACCAGCATGTCAGTGTGTGACCTGTTCTCTCAGCTTGCTCATCTCATGTTCCCCTGTTCATCTCACACCACACCCCCAAAATTGCATGTTCCCTGGACTTATTCCTTGTTGCCAAGTGCAGGATTACTGTGGTGAAATGGTTTCATGCAACCTTTCTGGAGAAGTCCTAAGGAATTCAGAACCACAGGGTAGAAAATTCCTGCAAAGGCAGGGTGTGCTGCTAGGTTTTGGAAATGGAATGAATAATTGGTAGCCCATGTGCTCACAGGCTTCCTTTCGCCCAGGTGGGCACGAAGAGCCAGCACATCCCATCCTTGATGCTGCCTGGGCAGCTGACTTGCTCCTCTGATGACAAGGGGCCCCAAGACTCCTCAGGGGGAAAATACTATTACTTACATGGGTGCCTGGTAGGGGGAAAGGTGGCGGTCGCACAGATAGTTAATGTGCTTAGCTGCT